GGCAATGGGTCTGTTGGTGTGGTGTCTGAATGAAAAAACCTAAGACTTATGTGAACATTACAAAAATAAATATAAAAAATAAATTTAAAAAGCAAAAGTGCAATCCTTATGTCAGACAGTGTGTGGCTCAGTGGGCTAAGCCTGTGTGCTTGTACTGTAATACCAAGGTTGCTGATTCAAACCCAGCCTCTGCACATCCGAGGCTCCTTGAAAAAGGCCCTTAACCCCCAGCTCCCTGGGTGCTGCTATGGGTAGCTGCCCTTTGTGGACAACTTACTCTATGAAGATCAAGTTGAGGGAGGTGTAAAGACAATTTCCCCGCAGGGATCAATAAAGTATCTATTATTATAATGAGCATGTTGAACATCTAGTTCATAAATGTATTCATTTGTTTCATCGTGCATACCTAAACGAAAATGATGTATCCAATAATACACAACGAATACGTGTACCATCCTATTAGATATTTGTGTGCACTTTATCTTTAAGCACATTACATAAATGTTACATTTAAAAATCATTAAATTAACAAGAATCCTTTAGAAGAGCTTTGTATTGATTTATGCATGTTTGCTACCAGAGCCAATTTTAAAGTCTGTTCAGCAGGATGCAATCCTGTTACATTGAAATTAAAAATTAATACAAGATGCAGTGGAGGTGTGTTTCTGTTATCTCTATGTTTGATAAATGGTTTATTTCTTTGTTGAAAATAATAATTTTTAATTTTTAAATAAATGAAAATGAAATGTATTTTAAATATTATTTTAAAATAACCATTTAAAATAAATGGTTAATATGGATTTGTTCAGTTTTCAGTTCATGCTTCCAGTCTGGGGAGGTGTGGTGGTGAACACTGCTGCCTTACAGCAAGGAGGTCCTGGGTTTGATCCCGGGTCCTTTCTGTGTGGAGTTCATGTGGGTTTTTGCTGGGGGCTCTGTTTTCTTCCCACAGTCCAAAAGCATGCAGATTAAGTTGATTGGTGTGTATTGGCCCAGTAGTTGTGTGCCCTACAGTGAGTTGGTGACTGCCCAAGGTTGGTTCCTGACTGTGCCCATTGTTCTCAGAATAGGCTCCTGTGACCCCTAGTTGGGATTCAGCAGTTTCCAAAAATGGATGGATGAATTTCCTGTCAGTTGTTGAATTGTGATTCCAAGACTAAAACTGAACATTTTTCTGGAATCGTAATCGACTGCTGAGCTTCGGTAACAGACTCAGTCTTGTCTTGGTCTCGCACCCACATCGGACGCGGTCATGACTCAGACTGGATTTGTTAAAGACACGGTTTCAAACTCGGCTAAGGTGGACTAGAACAAACCACTGACCTCAGTCCTAGATAAATAATCATGATTTATTTGGATGTACAATTTGGCTGATTGTATTTTTACATGTAATGCTCAACAATGAGCCACACAATAAAAGGTATTCATATTCTGCCATTTCAAAATAGCACCATTTAAGAGAAGATGGACATTTAGTCACTTATGAGATACACAATAAGAAGCAACAGTACAGAAGTCATTCGCTTTTGCTTTTCGTTTTTGATTT